GCGTGGTGAGGGGCGCTCAGGCGGCCCAGGCCAGAACCACGCCTCGCTGCACGGCCTTGGGGACTCCCTGAACCGGTCGGGCCTGGGATGCCACGTGCGCGGTTGATGCCCGGGTCCGAGGACCGAGGAGACACACCCGCTGGATGCGGGTCGACTGGAGGGAGGAACGGCCTTGAGATGGAGCAGCAGAGGGTCGGGGCTGGCCCCTCCCCGGCCATCTCTGCGGCCTTCGAGTCCCTGCAGCACTGGCCTCAAGCTGGGCCCTCTCACAGCGGCTCTGTGAGCTGCACGGACTCCTTCCACGAGGGTCACTCCTTCCTCCTGACAGGAGGGAACACCGAGCCCCCTCCCTCCCCCCAGATGGGGTGACTTGCCTCAGCTACCACGTGGCTCCCGACTCCCCCAAGCCCTGTGTGCTGCGGCGGGTCCATTCTGTGACTGCCCCGCTGGGTGGGAATCAGCCTGGGGGGGGTGGTGGTGGTCAGGGAGGGCTTCCTGGAGGAGGGGCCATGTCAGAGCTGAATGCTGAAGCGGAGGGTACGGAGAACCCCACAGCATTCTGTCGGGGGGCGCAGGGAGGCGGCAGCAGGAGGATGGAGCAGGACCCCCCGAGACCTCCCCCCACCCCCCGCCCAGGATTCCAGCCTGACTACATAGGGAGGGTCAAAGCCAGAATGCTGGTGGTTAGTGGCTCCTACACGCTCCCCCTGGGGCTGTTGGGCTTTCAGGGGGACCCTGCCAAGCCTGTGGGGGGTGTGCACAGGGGCCAGGCCGACCAGCCCGGCTCTTGGTGGGGAAAGAGCAGGAATGACAAGCAGGACCATGAGCAAGGCCTTTGTGGGAGTCGGGTCACATGACAGTGTGGTCACATGTCTACCACGTCTATGATGGCTCAGTGCCCCCATGTGCTGAGTGCATGGCATTCCTGGGCCGCTCCCGGGCGGACGGGCATGGGAGAGAGAGGTTGAAGCCCAGGGCCATGTGACACGCGGGCGCCGGGGTGAGGACACTCGGGCACGGCAGGGGAGCCCGCGCCGGGCCACGGCGCCTGGTGTGGGGATGTGTCTGAGCAAGCGTGGCCTCTGGTGGGTCCGGTCCTGCCCAGATGAGCCTCCCGCACACCCCGTGGCCTCAGCGTCCTCGTCGGCAGCCTCTTCCCCCAGGACCGTGGTCGGCAAACTGCGGCTCCTGAGCTGCATGCGGCCCTTTGGCCCCTGGAGTGCGGCTCCTCCACAAATACACCAGGGCCTGGGCGAGCCCATGGTGAAGAGAAGGGGCGTGAGAAGAAGTTTAAGTGGAAAGAATGTGGCTCTCGAAAGAAATCTCCATCGTCGAACTATTGACATTTGGCTCTGTGGGCGAATGAGTTTGCCGACCTCCGCCCTAGGACACGAATGAGGGCGGGTGTGCGAGGCGCTGGCTCCAGGCCAGGCGGGTGCCCTGGCTGCCCCGGGCCCCAGCGCGTCGGGCAAAGGAGCCCATTTCCATCGACCTGTTCCCGGCATGTTCTCCGTCTCCCTGGACCTCCGTTCCCCGTCAGCCACTCTGCACTCTACTGCTCCTATCACTTCTAAACGACTAGAAGGATTAAAAACGAATTATTTCCATCACCGCGCAGAGCCCCGGCCGCCGGTGAAATGGGGTAGGTACTCCCAGGGGAGGGCCTGGGCCGGCCCTGCAGGCCCCCCTCTGCCCATCCCCCCCGCAGATGGCAGGCAGCACACGCTGGCCCTGGGACCCCTCCGGCTGCTGAGGGCCTGCGAGGAGGGACCCTTGGAGCCCAGGGCCTGGGGAAGGCTGCTCGTTTGCTTCATTTGCCTCATTCGCCTGCTCTGAGTCCTGGCTGGAGGTGTCAGCCTCCGCCGATGGTGCTTGGCAGCCCTGACCCGGGGGCCCGGGCACGGGGGCAGGCCTGTGAGCCGGGAAGGATGCTGCCCGCAGGCTGTCCTGTGGTCGGCCGGGCATCCTTGGACGGGGGCCAGGAGCGTCCGCGGTCAAACCAGCAGCCGGCGTCGGGGGAGGTCGACATGCTCCACGCCGCTTCTTCCGGCTCTAACGAGCTTCCTGCACGGGGCTCCGGGCCCAGGAGGCCGAGGCCAGGCGGTAACCGCTGCCCCACCCGCCCTCCCAGTCCATCAGGCGTCATCTCCAGGAGCCAGCAGGGCCAGGGAGCGGCCGGGGATGGGGTGGGGGCAGGCGGGCGCTGGTTGAATCGGCTGCCCCAGGCCCAGCACTCCCTCCTCTCCCCGGCCCGCCCGCCCGCCCCTCGCCAGCACTTGGCTGAGGGTGATCTCATCTCTTCCTGGGCTGTAAATATCACCCAACTGCTCCAGACTCCCGAATTGTCCTCCAGCCCAGGCCCCCTCTCCTGAGCTCAGCCTGCACAGCCTACGCTACACCCCCGACCAGATGCTTCCCGGGGCCCGGCAGCTAAAGGAGGCCGCTCCCCCCAGCAGCCCGCCTCGGGGACGGTGCCCCCGCCGCCGGATGCTCAGGACAGACGCGGGGAGCCTGCCCACTCGCCTCTACCTTTTTTTGCTGGGTCTAACTCAAACGTGCCCACGTCCCTCCTGATCCCCACCCCACCCTTCCCTCTGCCAGCCCGGCCAGACTGCGTACCCCTTGCCTGCACGGGGCAAGCCTCCACCCGCTGCACACAAAGCAGCCGGAGGAACGACGTCTCAGGAAATCAGACCCCACTCTCGCCATCTTAGGGCGTGGTCCTCAGAGCCTTAAGGACCCTGTGCACCGCACCCACCCACCTGCTTCACTGCCCCTTGCTCCCACTCCTCACGGTGGCCTCGGCGTCTCCTTCCTCAGGGAGGGGAGAGGAGGGTGCCCGCCCCCCAAGGATGGGCTGGGAGGACACGTGCCTTGGAGGCGTGGCCCAGGGAAGGAAGTCAGCCCAGTGGCAGCCCTGCAGCTTCCTTCCTGAGGTCCCAGCGGCCAGTGATGGGCACCGTGGGCCTTGGGGTGTCCTGAAGGCGGCAGGTGTGTCTCGGTGAGGAGCAGGCTCCACAGAGGGAGTGAACGCACCTTGGGAGGCGGGTTCGCCGAGGGGCCCAGGTGGACCTCAACGCCTTTTGCCAGTGGGTGCTTATGGCTCCCTGGCTGCCAGGGAGATGGCGGGAGACCAGGGGCCACCATGCCCTTCAAGAGCCCCCTGGGCTCAGCCTGGAGTTCTGCCCCCTCCCCGTCCCCAGCAGTTTGGGTGCGTCTCCCTGGGCACGGCAGGAGGGCTGCTCAGGAGAAAAGTGGATCTAGACACTCCTGCTCATGCTCCCCCTGCCCACTGATGCCCAGGCCCAGGCTGGCAGCCTCCAGGCTGGCAGCCACAGGGACGGGGTGCCAGGGGGCGCTGATGGCAGGCCGCCAGGCACAGGCCCGAGGCTGCCCAACACATGGACCCCAGAGTCCACGGAGCTGCCTCTTCGGAGGCTCTTGAGGGGGACACTGGGGGCTCCTGGGCCCAGAGGGGCTGGGGTAGAAGCCTGGTTAGGGCCTGAGTGGCCCTTCTGAGCCCAGAGCAAGGTGTCAGGGCTTGGAGCTGGGATGTGCCAGTGTCCCCTGTGCAGAGGGGCAGCCTGCCAGCCCCAGAGGTGGGCAGTGCCAGCAGCCCAAGTTCAGGGTCAGTCACCTGGAAGAGGAGACGGGGTGTGTGGGGAACCTGGCTGAGGAGGGGGACGGGCAGGGGAGAAAGGCTCTGAGCCCCACCCGGGGAAAGAGGAGCTGGGCACGTGGCTGAGCACATCCTCCCCTCTCCCCCCTCCCTCTATCCCTCCCTCCCTCGGGCTTCCTCAGCCCCAGCGTCCCGCACGGCCATCTGGCTCCACCAGTAACACACCCCAACATGCTCCCTCCCCCAGTCCGCGTGTTCCTGCTCCTGCTCCCCCGGCCCCTGGCCAGGATGGGGTAGCCTCCGCCACGTGTCCTCTCTCTCTCCCTTTTGTTTCTGAGCCCTCACCGCACAGGCCTGGCGGAGACGTGTGTGTGCATATTTTTGCCTGCGCTGTTTGCATGCTTGCGTGTGCGTGTACACGTGCGGGCCCTGCTCTGCCTGTGTGTGTGTGTGTGTGTGTGTGTTATGTGCGCATATATGTACACAGGGGCAAGCAGACCCACCTGGGCCTGTGTCTGGGTGTACCCTGGTGCAAGTGCGGGTGCCCTGGGCACATGCCTGTGCAGGTGTGACTGCAGGGATGGTGTGTGAGCGGGAGCAGGGGTGTGAGGGTGCACCCAGCCCCTGCCAGATTTCTAAAGGGAAGGAGGCACCTGCCAGGATCCTCTTGGAAACAACCTGAGCCACGTGGGAGCCGGGCTGGGCTGGCTGGGGTGGAAGGCTGGGACCTCCAGGGACCCCATGTGGCAAATGTCTCCACAAAGGCACCCACATCCAGTCGCCATGGCTGATGTGTGGTGTGTGCTAGACACACACACTTCCTAAATGCTGCTATCAGCTCAGCGTGGCTGGGGTGGGCCAGGGCACCAGGCGTCTCTCGGGGCCACCATGGCTGCCGGGCTGAGACGGTCTGAGCCGCCCACACAGCCCAGGATGCCCCCCTCGTGTGGATGGAAGCTCCTCTGTCTTGGGGGTCTGTGTGGCTGTGCCCGGGGCAGGGTTACCCCTCCAGGGCCCTGCCCACCCGTCACTGCCCGCAGCACTGCCCCTCGGAGAGGCCACCGCTTACAAAAGAGCTCTTTATTCCACATTGCCCAGTATTTTTACACAAGTAAAATAAAATGCTTTTTTTTTTTTTTTTTCTGTATCTCGCGGGCCAGCGGGAGGCAGTGTTCTGGAACAAACACTGCCGCTGCTCCCTGTAAACATGATGGCATGGAGATGGGTCTGGGGGCGGGGTGGGAGGAAGGCGTCCATCAGGGAGGGCCTGGCTGCCCCTCGGGCCTGCTCCCGGTGCTGGCTGGCAGCGCGGAGGGGACCCCGTATGTACACACCCCTGGCTGCGGAGGGAGGGAGGCCTTGCTCTCCACCGGGGGGCTGGTCAGCAGGGCCTGAGCATGGTCCACAGCGCCAGCGCCAGGCCGAGCGGGGCGAGGCTGCAGGCGAGGCCGGGAAGGGCCCCCGAGCCCTCTGCCTCGCCCGAGCCCCCGCCCCCGCCGCCCGCCTGGCCCAGATGGCACTGGCTGCGGGTACGGTTCTTCCGGGAGCAGCCCGGCCTCCGGCGGCGGGGCCCCACGGTGGGGAGGCCCGGTGGCTCCGAGCCCTGGGGCCGCAGCCCGGTGAGCGGGGGCTCGGCCGAGCCGGGCAGGGTCCCGAAGGGGGAGTCGTTGATGTGCCTGGGGCCGGAGCTGTTGCCCGGAGGGCTGTCGCCGGGCGGCGGCACGCGTCCCTTGAGCGCATTGCCCGCCGAGGCCGGGCTCCCGGCCTCCAGCACCGAGGCCTTGTCGGCGGCGTCCGGCTGGCAGCACTTGGGGAGCCCCAGCAGCGGCTCGTCGGCGGGCCCGCCGGTCCAGGCGGCGCGGGAGGCGCAGCCCTCCAGGTCCGTGGCCGCCAGGCGCTTGAGGTCCCGGCCGGCCAGGCGGCGGGGCAGGCTGCAGGGCAGCTCGGACGAGGAGCCGCGGAACTGGCGCAGCCAGGCCCAGAGCGGGCGGGCCCGGCAGTCGCACACCCAGGGGTTGTCGTTGAGCCTCAGGTACTGCAGGGCGCGCAGGGGCGCCAGGGCCTCGGCGGGCAGCGCCGAGAGGTTGTTGGCGAACAGGTAGAGCGTCATGAGGCGGCCGAGGTCGCGGAAGGCGTGCGGGTGCACGCGGGCCACGCGGTTCTGGTGCAGCAGGAGGCGGTCGAGGCTGTGCAGGCCGCGCAGGGCGCGCTCGGGCACGCTGGGGATGCGGTTGCCATGCAGGAAGAGGTGCGTGAGGTTGCCCAGGTCTCGGAAGGCGTCGTCGGGCAGCGCCTGCAGCCCGTTGTCCTGCAGGTAGAGGTACTGCAGGGCGGCCAGGCCGCGGAACAGGCCGGGGCCCAGCTCCCGCAGGCCGCAGCGGTCCAGGTGCAGCGTGTGCAGGCGGCCCAGGCCGCGGAAGGTGGCGGGGTCCACGGCGCGCAGCTGCCCGTTGTCGCTGAGGTCCAGCTGCTCCAGGAGGGCCAGGCCGGCGAAGGCGGTGGCGTCGATGCGGGTGAGCGCGTTGGAGTGCAGCCACAGGATGGTGAGGTTGCGGCAGGCGCGGAAGGCGGCGGCCGGCACCTGGGCGATGCGGTTGCCGTGCAGGAAGACGCGCTGGCTGGCCGCGGGGATGTCGTCGGGCACGGCCTGGAGGCCCTGCTGGGGGCAGCCTGTGGTCACCTTGGGCTCGTTGTAGCACACGCAGGCCCCCGGGCACGGGGCCGCCACCCGCCACACCTGCAGCCACACCACCCAAGCCAGCAGCCGGCTCCCTGTGGGCGGAAGAGAGGGTGGTTAGCGGGCAGGGAGCCCTGCGTGGGGCGGGGGTTGTGCTGGGCAGCCAGGCCGCCCCAGGACAGGCGGTCACCCCTGGGAGCTCAGGGGCTGTGAGCCCTGGGGGACCTGCCATGTGGAACCTGCTAGGGCCGTGGTCGGCAAACCGCGGCTCTCGAGCCACATGAGGTTCTTTGGCCCCTTGAGTGTGGCTCTTCCACAAAATACCACGGCCCGGGCGAGTCTGTTTTGAAGAAGTGGCGTTAGAAGAAGTTTAAGTTTAAAAAATGTGGCTCTCAGAAGAAATTATTTTTTTTTTAAATATATATTTTATTGATTTTTTACAGAGAGGAAGAGAGAGGGATAGAGAGTTAGAAACATCGATGAGAGAGAGTCATCGATCAGTTGCCTCTTGCACACCCCCCACCGGGGATGTGCCCGCAACCAAGGTACATGCCGTTGACGGGAATCGAACCTGGGACCCTTTTGTCTGAAGCCCGATGCTGTATCCACTGAGCCAAACCAAAAGAAATGTCAATCGTTTGTACTGTTTTTTTGTTTGTTTGTTTGTTTGTTTGTTTGTTTTTTAAATATATTTTTTTAATTGATTTTCCACAGAGAGGAAGGGAGAGGGATAGAGAGCTAGAAACGTCGATGAGAGAGAAACATCGGCCAGCTGCCTCCTGTACACTCCCCACCGGGGATGTGCCCGCAACCAAGGTACATGCCCTTGACCGGAATCGAACATGGGACCTTTCAGTCCGCCGACCGATGCTCTATCCACTGAGCCAAACGGGTTTCGGCAATCCTTTGTACTGTTGATGTTTGGCTCTGTGGACTCATGAGTTTGCCGACCGCGGTGCCAGGGGATCGTAAGTTCCCCGGAAGAGGCTAAGGCCTGGAGCTGGAGGCGGGTATTCCAACCTCGGTCAGCAATGAGCTCCAAGAGCATGTGCCACCCGGTGACAGCCCGGAGGCACATCAGTGATTCCCCTTTGGGACCCTGCCCGGCGTGGCTGAGTCCCTGCTGACGGCACCAGGGAGGGTCCTCGGCTACAGGCCCTCATGTGCCGCCTCGGGGTTAGCCAGGGCCTGGCCGGGGCCCCCTTGCAGGCCTCCCGAGATGGACACACACCTGCAGACACCTTCTCAGGCTCCAGCAAACAGCCCCTGGGCTTGCCTGCTGTCCCTGCAGGTCCTAGCACTGTCCTTGGCCTGTCCCCTGCCCCACCGGCCCACACAGGCCAGGCTGGGAGAGAGAGGCTCTGGCAAACCCTCGAGGGCCAGCCTGGCAGAGTGCTTCCGAGGAGCCCTGAGCTGAGGCTCCTGCTCCGGCCTGCCAGGCAGTCAGCTGCTGGGCCCCCTCTTAGGCTCTCCAAGGCGGGGCTGTGGCTCAGAATTCCGGAGACACGGAGGCCCAGAGCTGCCCCAATTCTGAGGATGCCTCCCACCACCAGGAGCTGTGCTTAATGAGGAAACGGCAGGCACCTGGCCGAGCCCCCAGGGGTCTTCCTGGGGGGCCCCAGGTTCCACCCACTGGGCCCCAGCAACCCTATCACGGGGTCAGGAGGCCGGACACCTGAGGGCAGGTGGGTCCAGGGCTCAGAAAGACGAGCCCCCCTCCAGGCAGTGTCTGGAGGGTGAGCGTCTGGATCAGCCCAGGCAAAGGGGACCCAGCAGGGATAGGGGGCCTCAAGGTCATGGCTCCAGGTAGGGGAAGATAGCCCAGGGTCCTCTCCTCTCCACTCACAGCTGCTTGGAGAGCTTCCGGCCTTGGCATGGAACCCCTGCGGCCTCCTCTCAGCCTCGTTTGCTGCTTGGTCTCCTCCCCAGCTGAGCAGCTCACCCCTTACCAGCCCAGCAATCCCTGCACAACCCCACCTGCCCTCCACCCTCCTTCCTGCCCAGGCATACTCTCAGCGCATCCTACTCCAGCCCCAGGAGGCTATACCCCCATTTTTCCTCCCCCGCTGAGGGGTCAGGCATACCAGGGGCCTCCCCAGTGACCTACCCTAGGCAGGAGGCCCCTCCGGAGGGGATGCACCCGGCCCTGGTCTCGCCAGCTAAGCTCAGGGCCTATCATCCCCCAGTCAGAGCTCCCCTCTGTGAATGCTGAAGGTCCTCTCTGCCGCCGGGAGTGAGTCTATTAAAATGGGACACCCGTCCTCCCCCCACGGGAGGGTTAGGGCTTATCAGCTAACATGTGAGTTATCAGCTAACACCTGCCCTGACAGCCAACACCTTCCTTGGCAGCTGGCTGAGCGGAGGATTCTGCAGACAGGAGCGGGGCTAAGTGCTGGGGCTGGAGCCAGGAGGGAGGAAGGAGAGGACCATAGGCTAGCTTCCCCCACCCCGAGCCATGACCTTGGGGCCCCCTCACCCCCCTGCTGGGTCTTCTCTGCCGGGGCTGGTCCAGACGCTCACCTTCAGTTCAGAGCCTCAGCAAACTGGCATGTACTCTGGTCCCCAGGTCCTGGATGCCCCCTCCCCACAGTCGGGGGACCTTCTCTGTCCCCGGTCAGCTCCTGGGGACATAGCAGCCTCAGGACAGGGATCCAGAGAATCAGGCCGGGCCCAGGATTCCCCCCTCAAGCCCTGGGCACCCCTCCTGGCCGGCCATGGGCGGGAGGCGGAGGGGTGCCCTGGCTGAGGTCTGTTTGCACAGCTGACACCCTCTCCTCGGGAGGTCAGGCCTCGCTATGCCAGCGCTCACCAGCCTCTCGCCTGCTGTCACGGGATGTAACGGTGCTAGGAACACACCCTTCCTGTCTCCGAGGCCTCGGTGGGGGTGGGGGGAGGGGGGTGCGGGTACTCACCCACCGGGCCAGGCTCTGAAGCCCCCTCAGCACCGAGGGCAGGCCACATCATGTCTATGCCATGCCACCAGACATGCCACAGACCAGGCCACACACCGCCGGCCTGCTAGGTCACCAGCCACCCATCATGACCACGCCTGCCACCTCCCCTGCCCCGTGCCCGTGGCTCCGGGGCCGGCAGCCGTGGTGTGTGAACTTGGGTGGTGTCAGGTTCAGCTGACTTCCCCAGAACGGGGCCCAGCGGCTCTGGCCTCCAGCCCTCGCCAGCCCGGCCCCCCCCTCCCCCGGGAGACCTGAGCTTGGGGCTATATCCAGGCAAGGTTCCCGGGCTCAGCTGCCCCGCCCTGGGAGTGGCTGGCAGAGCGCCAAGTGGCCCTGCCCTGCCAGGAAGTGGGCACCGGGCACAGAGACACGGCTCCACTCTCGCCGAGCCAATTGCTTTCCAGAAACCAACTTCTGAGGCTCCGTCCTTGCGCGCGCGCGGGCCCCGCTGCCAGCGCCGGAGCGGACGGTGGGCTCTCTCCTCGCAGCAGCTACAGTAATTGGCTCCAACCCGGCCCCCCTTGGGGCCTGCCCGCTGGTCTCCATGGCAACCCCTCTGCTGAGCAAGCATAAGGGGGCATTTTTTTTTTTTATGAGATAATCAAACCCAACTTTGCAGTGTGGGTTCGCATTCCCGGCGGGGGGGTTGGGGATACCGGAGCCCAAGCAGGGAAATGGGAAGCCATCTCCGGACCCCACCCATCCCGGGGGCTGGACCCAGTCCCTCCCCTGGACCCCTCCCACACCCACTGTGGACTGCCACCCCTAAACGGCCTTCCCGGTCCTGTCTCCCCATCCCATCCTTCCACCTGTCTCCTCAGCCTCTCCCTCCACCCTGTCCTCCGTCTTCCCCAGCCTCTGCAGCTCCCCCTGCACCAAGCCTTTCTGGCCTCTGGGTCTGCACTCTCGCTGGTCCCATCTGCCCTTCAGAGGCCCCAGGCTGCCCCCTGCCCCACCTGCCTGCTGGCTGCAGCCTGGCGCCTGCCTGCCCTCAGTCTCCTCTCCCACCTGTGCCGGCCTCCCTGGGCCCTGGTCCTCAGTTTGCCTCCAGGCACGTGTGGTGAGGAAACAGCCTCACTGGGCTCTGGCTCACACACACACACACACACACACACACACACACACACACACGGGAGCCACGGCGCACACAAGGAAACACGACGCTCATGGGAAACCAGACCACAACCCGCCCCTCCAGAGCCCCCGTGGCCATCGTGACCCCACACCCGGCGGCCAGGCCACGGGAGCTGCCCACCAACCCAAACCGGCCCCTCAGGCCTCCGGGCCCCCCGAGCTGAAGAGCAGCCACTGTGTGACCCGGGCAGGAATGGGGCCCAGGCTGTGAGGACGTGGACAGGTGCCAGGGCACCTGGCTCCCTCCTGTGGCATCGGTGGCTGTGAGCAGACATCGCTGGGAAGGCGCTGAGCTGTTCCCTCCTTCTCCTCCTCCCTGTCTCTCCCCCGCCCCCCCTGAGGCTGGGGTCCGTAGGCTGTGGAGGGGCTGGGCAGCCAGAGCACAGTCAGGACATCGGTCGACTCAGGACCCTCTCGAACGCCAAAACCACCCGTGAAGGGTCACGGCCCCGACCGCAGTTTCTGGGCGGAACAGGAGCCGTGGCTCAGCACACCGAGGCCAGAAATAGCTCCAGGCGGGGGTGGAGCCGGTGCTGGCCACACGCCGCAGAGGGTCAGGGCAGCGCTGTGCTCGCACTCCTGCCCTCTGCCAGCCTCCACCAACCGGCCCTCCGTCTCCCGTCTGTCCCCCCTCGGTCTTCACTCGCTTCTCACACTCGCCACCCACCTTCCGCCCGTCTGGGGCCCTCAGGCCTGTGCAGGGGCAGCGTGCATGCTCGATGCATTTCCCAGGCTCTTCCCCGACTCCAGGTGCCGGGGCGGGGGGGGGGGAGTGACAGCAGCTCCAGTGGGGGCAGCCCACCCTGGAAGGGGGGCAGGGGTGTGGCTGACACCCCTGCTGCCCGCTGTGCCCTTATTGGTCTTCTCAGGGCAGTGGCTGCAGGAGAGGGCCTGGTCCATAGGGGCCAAGTCACCGCCATGGCAGGAGGGGGCTGGAGCCAGGGCTGGTCGGTTTCCGGCCAAGCTGTGTGCAGTGGGGGAAACTGAGGCTGGCCTGGGCGGAGCCT